AGATTATGGATGGGACTTAGAATCCTCTTAAGCTAGTGGTACAACAACAGCACATACTTTCTCGCATTATATAATTTCATACAAAAATTGAATATTCAGAATAAAGGTCATCCAATTTATCGCACTATGAATGCATTCGAAACGTTATCATTATCTTCTGCATATCTGTATATACATTTCATCCGTCGTTAATAAGTTGAATATCCATTTTATTGAACGTAGGGAACTATCACAAACATCACTAACGTTAAGTAAATAAAACCGCCTTATCATATCATCTTCATCTTGTCGCCGTTCAACAATGAACATGTGATTACTTGAACAATATGATCGTGCGGTGATTATTTTATATACCGTAGTTGCTAGCGGCCAACCACATTATCCCAATTGTATTGTTATCTGCTGTAATTGTGCCAATGCTGGTGTTGGCCTACCATTTTCAATTGCTTGAACGTTCTCGTGGAACAATCTAGGTAAAAATGGTCTCCTCAAAATACCTTCAATTATATCCTCACTGGAAGTCATACACAGAATTATTCCTGATACTCGTTAGACAAAGCATTTTTAGTTCACTGCAAAGTTACTACAAATCCTCACAAAATAACGAGTAAATTCAACTCGTCACAAACACTACAATGGATCGCCACTGCATATCGCTCTGTCCTGACACACACATTGATTCTCTAAGAATACGCTGTGCTATTCACAAATACGAGGATTCCAGGGATCTGATAACATGAGACAGAACATCCTTCTTCAGAAAAAATAATAAAATCTCTACTAAACATTCTGGTTTACTCTCATTACATTGAGTGAGAAATATGCACCCCATAATCATTTCATAAGTTATAAACTTCTCGACTAACGGTACGTTAATATATACTAACAAAACATTCCGTTTAAAATAATTGTGCATTGTGGTAGGACTGGCTTAAGAGTTGTCACGTTTGCAGTCAAGACGAGCCAAACAAGACCTGGCCTTGAAGCAGGGAGGGGCAGAACCGCCATTCAGCTCGAGTTCAGTGCATACGATCCAGTGCAATAGCATCGTATCGGTCGTGGCTTTTCGATCGCCGCCTGCCTCGGTCCCCGGAAGTAGATATTGAGAATTTTAGAAACTTTGTTGGAAATCATTTGAAGCAATTCTACTCATATATACATTCTATTAAGATTATAAATGAACTGGAAGCGACTGCATGCAATTTTTCGCTTTTTGAAATGTTAAACTAGTTTACAACTCTCATGGCTTATTTGCAAAACGTATGTCACATCAAATCAATTGCTCAATATAATATGCAAATTAATATAATATTGCGGTGCGTTTGCAAACTTTGCGATAAAGTATATGCTTTGGTAGCACCACTAGTTTAATATCATAATCAGTGAATAAAACTTCAAATGTTGATGTGTGTTTGTTAGTTCTTAGATAAAATTTATTACCTTCCATTTCATCTATTTCCTTTCATAAAAATATGATCTACATCACACAATTATCATGCATGACCGACAGGAATGGATGACTTCGAAGCATTCGAAGAATTTTGAAATCTGTGTCGCTATTTTCCGAAATGGCAACGCTTGAACCGAAGCGCGTGAAATTCGATTTACAATTCCGAACGTATTTTACAATTTTCGAGAATGCAGAGCGCGTCGAAAATAGGACTATTTCCACTATCTTAACAGTTCTTTGCTACATATGAGGATAAAAATAAAAGACAAAATTTGACGAAGAAATTTTTTCTGAGAAAATTGTTTAAAATGGTTTTAAAACTGCCTACGTTTCATCTAAAATTACACAAAAAAATACTCGAATTTTGAAATATTGATCGTGACGTTCTTTGAAGAACTGTTTTTGATAAACACTTTTCAATAAGAAACAAATTTAATCTTAAATATTGTAATTGTAGGAAGATGCCGAAAAGTTTTAAATGTTTGTAATTTTCGAAAAATCAGGGTTTTTAACGAAAATGAGACCTGTATCATTGTCTCAAATATCCTTCACACTATTCAACAACAAAAAATGTAATAAAAAACGATGGAGCCATTTTTTCGAGAATTTTGAGAATGTCAGCGGTGCTTCTGGTAAAATATCCCCGAAGAAATTAAAATATCGGTTTGAAAGTTCAGGTCCACCGATATCAGCCAGATCAATTGGGATATATCAATTTTGGAGAAATCGGCTGAACGGTTTAACCGGTAGCTTTGTTCACAGAAGAACTAGACGGATTGGACAGGCAGAAACCGACAGACTGCTGTGTTCCGTCATTTGATTTGTCGGTATCAAAGACTCGCAAAACAAGAATCGTGGCTACACCACGTGTTAGAGGATTTTTTTTTAAATTCAGCCACTGGATTTATCCACTCTTTTGTTACCAGGACCCGGCAATAACATTTTTTCGGCCGAAAATTCGCCGTTTTCTCCTGCAGCATTACATAACTTTCTCTTCTTAGGAAGTAACTTCTTGAGGGCGAGAGAATAAAAATTGCTACCATTCAGGAAACATCAGATTGGAACGGGACAATGGCATTCCGCCCCGCGAGACGCAGCTGAATTTCTGTGAATTGCGTCTCATGGTAAGGACATGATTTAGCTGTATGATACGCAAATGTATATAATTGTCGAATTGTATTTGATATTTGCTTGAAAATATTTAGTTTTCCCACTTAATGTGTTTCACAAAAACTACGATTTGTAATGTGTTTTACAAAAACTGAGACTGACTATGACTGAGATGTGGGAGTTGGGAGAGAAATTGTGAGAAAAATTGTAATACGTAACCATTACTAAAGAGAAAGTTACGAAATTCTGCGGAAAATTGATTTCGAGATTTCGACGGAAATACACGTCTTGGAGTCCCCTGATACCGAAAAAGTTGTTTTGTTTTTAAACCTCCATCTGTCCGTCCGTCAGTCTGGTGTCTATAAACACTTCTAGCGCCTAAACCATGCGTAGGATTTTTTCCAAACTGAAAAAAAAACATGTTGATATGGCTCGAGTTGATTCTCTGATATTTAAAAAACATTTTTAAAATTTGGGGATATTTTTCATGAAGCCCCCCGGACATTTTTAAAATGTTCTCAAAAATAGCAACAAATATTTATATATGTATATTTATATATATGTATATTTTTTGAAAATTTTAGTAGTTTTCGCGCAATATTGCGAGCAGCATGTGCAATTTAAAAAAATTACAAAACAAGATTTTCTCAAAAATTGCTCAAAATTATTTCTTTAAACTTTTGGTAGGGATAGTCTTAAATGTACTCTATGAGATGACATAGACGTCATTTTCCTCTATTCTTTGGTTTTTTGAAAAATTACAAACATGAAATTTTTTGACTTTTCTTACCCGTCGTTAATATTTATACTCGCGAAAATTTGTTGAAATTATTATATTTATGAGTACATGTGCTTTAAATAACGTCAAATAAGGTTTCTCAAAAACCAATTTTCTGTGAAAACTACCCCGAAATACCGCATTTTCAGAAATGCCCAAACTCTACTTCCTCAAAAACGACTCCACATTTTTTCTTCAAACTTTTCAAACGGATAGTGCTAATTACATTCTTTAATATGGCGTTAAGTTAATTTCGAGGTATTTTTTTTCAAAAGTTACACAATTTCTTTGAGAGATATCTCACGTCGATATTAAGCAATTTATATAAACTATTGTATTTGTGAATTAATATTCTTCAAATGACTTCGAATTATGTTTTTCGAAACGTCAAAAATTTTCTGTGAAAAAGAGCTTCAAATTTCGAATTTACAGTATCGCTTAAACGCCTGTTTTTTAAAAACGGCTCCAAATTTTTCTAAGGAAATTGCCATTTAGGACGAGGTTTTACTGTTTTTTAATAATATTAAAATAATATTTCCGCTGTGCAATTATAAACCGAAAAATTAAGAAAACGTCAAAAAATGTACTTTAGGCAGCGGTAGATGGCACCAGGCAAGAAAATGTGGCAAGTTCGTACAGTTAACCGAGACGAAAGGAAATAGAAAACTAATACGGGAAAGTCTATGCCATTCTGTAGCGCACATATTTATGCATATTTAATACATCTATACGTACATATTTTCCCAATTTTTAGTACATAATTATCCGGGCCCTTCTTATCACAATATGTGCATATTTTCCCAATTTTTAGTACATAATGATCCAGCCTTCTAGGCATATCAGTTGACGTTAACGAAACGAAAAAATCAACCAATCTCATGAGTCACATACAATTTTTATAATTTTTTAAATATATAAATAAAATAAGAAAATACTATTATTTAAAGTAAAGTAATCGAAAAATAATTATAGGTAGACAAAGTGCTTATATTGTGCCTGAAGGTATTATAAATATCGATTTTTCAAGTAAAAATACTCAAAAGACGGTTATTAAACGTACCACTAGTCCCCCCTATATGATGTGAACAATTAGTGGAATCAGTGACGTACATACACTTGCATAGTCTATTTCCCCTTCGCTTTCATAGCCGGATTACAGGAGACACGTATAAATAGTTGTTTCATTCGATATAAAATAAAATAGCCAATATTCTCCTCATAATAGAAAATGCATTTCCCATATACATTTTATAGAAAATAATACAAGAAAACGGCTGATATACAGTTTAACGAAATGAAATGGTAATTGAATTCAAAATAATAATTTGTTCATCATTTATTTTCACATACAAAATGCTACCATAACCTAAACTCCAACATTATAATTTTTCATAGATTTTACCTTTTAAACTCATTTTCATTAACTTTCCTTTTTCTTCGTGCTGTTTAAATTTGTACTCTGCATCTGTTATTTTTTGTCTCCATTCTGCACTACCAATCATCATATATCCCTTCCTCGATCTCCATTATCCCTGTAAAACTGTTCATGCTCTTCTCTCTTTCCCTCTCTCTTTTTTCCCAGTCATGTTTCTCATGGGATTTTCCATCGCCTTCACTTTTCTTATCACATCAAATTTCAAAAGGTTTCCTTTTACTTCGGCCCTACCATCCTTTATTTCTCTGGTTACCTTCGTCTCCCCAACCTTGATTCACTGTTTTTTTGTCTTTATGTTTTCTTTTCCTACTCTCTTCTTTTGTTTCTTTTCCTTGTCGCTTTAGTTTCTTCATCTCTTCTTCTTTTGCTTTCTCGTGAGATTTTATTGCGCGATTGGTAAAAAATTGGCAAAGTGACAAGGCGAGAAGCAACACATATAAACCACCAGCAAACCAGCAATTAAGGGCGCTCTGGAAGCAAAAAGGATAGATTTTACATTACATTCTGTTGATATCTCAAGAATTGGATCGACTGGATTTTAAATATTTAATGTAATATGCGTAATTTAATATGCGCATACAAACGCATTCTCTAACGTGAGCCATTCTGTAGCACCACAAATTATTTTCTTGAATACGAACGTATGATATGAGTGATACCCTGAATCGGGTTGAATGGGGACAGCGGTTCAATGGTTCACTGGTACAACTCAATGGTATAACTCCTGTTCAATGGTGAATTTTTGATATCATCTGGTGAATAAAATTAGTACATGTTTGTAATTCTCGACAGTTGTGTGCATCATCTTTAGGAATCATTTCAGTGTTTGACAATATTGCGGACGTTGATCAGATGTTGTTACTATTCAAAGGTATTGTTCTCTATATATGCTGACCGCTCCATTTTAGGAGCGATGAGAATATAATACAGTATGAGTTAAAAAAAAGGAACATTTCCACATGTTCATCAAGTTCTAAGATAGGTGGTCATTTACTGGAAACATTTGGTCATTCACTGGTGTACACAGTAAAAACTATTTAAATTTTAAACACTGTTGTTTGCAGGTTGAAACATTAACTATCATAGTTGAGCTATTCTGTGGCCTTCATAAGTTCTATATTCATACCGTTTTATTTTAATCTACTTGATTTTCATGTGGTAATTTCAAAACATGATCACGCGCTTGAATGGTCATTTACAAGTACATTCACCCTAAATAATAAAATATTATTTAGGTTACCAAATAAATGTGTAATTAACATAGAAGTCTGTCGAAATTTACCTTTTATGGTTATATGTCAATTTCTTAACTCTAAAACACTGATACGTCTTATTTTAATTCGTGCTACTCTGAGTTCACTTTAGTACACGGATGAGAAAATTAATGCTCACGAAAGACAAGTCAGAAGGATTATCACATAATGAAAAATCTTACACGGCGAAGAAAGCCTGGGCGGTTTCATAAGTTGGTTGTGCTGCACAGAAATAGGCTCGGACGTCGTATTGCAAATTCCGTCCCCTATTCTTCCAAGCATTGGACAGTCTCCTTTTGTTTCTCATACACCATTTTTCTTTGGTGTATGAAAAATGTCTGCCTGAATTTTTTAAGCATGACATTTTATAATAATGTAATAGATACGAAAAATATTTTTAATCGAAAAATAATACGTGATTTATAGTTTTACAAGAAAAGTATTCACCTACCTGAGTATAACGTTCTGTTACCAGATCCTTATATTCTTTCTCTTCCATATCTGTTGGAAGTTCGATGCCCATGGATTCTATTAATGCCTCACTTTCAATAAAATAGAATAATCCCATAAGACCCTGTAAATAATACCAATTTTACTTCTGGGTAAGCATCAGCCGCAGCAAAAGAAACTTGTTTCTAAATATTTGTACCAAGTGGATAATTCCCCAAACGCCGAGTACTATTCCACACATAGAACACTTTGAGCCACATATTTTTACTCGTATCATTGTATATAGCTATACTATTTAGCAATAAAACAGTCACAACACTTCACTCTCCCGAGTACTAAGCTTGCCAGTTGCCTACTGTCAGCATTGTTTAAACTTCATTTATATTACAGGCAGGTAACGTTTGCCACTGAATTATTTATGTCGTAAAATATGCTCTGATGGGAGTTTCATCCATAATGTTTGAATGTACCTTTTCTCCAAAAAACGTTCGTTCTTTGAACGTATTTTGATGTTAAGCTACTACTAGTGAATGGAGATTAGACAGTTTGATTTGAAATGATAGAGTGAAGAATATGGTATCAATGGCAATGGGAGAAAATAATATCCTCTTAGATTGGCAATACTGTTAACAGATGATCAAAAAATAATAATTGACCCGGCCGTTTCTGGAACTACCATGGAGCTATTCATAGCTCAATGGGGGCTACACCCATAGAGTAGAGATATATCTAGAGTTGTATCTCTCTATGTCTACACCCCGATTTAAATGTAAGAAAATGTGACAACTTGAACGCGATTATCCAAGTGGAAGATTCATTTTTAACAGATCCTGAGAATATCCCTCCTCCGACCGTATATACGCGTCTCAGCTGATCAGCTGCCTAATGCACGTAACTTTAAATCGGAGAATGACAGTCTGTTTATCTCCAGACACCCGATTCGGTGTACACATTTTTCGCAACATTTATGGCTTTCAAGGATTATTGTCAAGGAGGAATATCCCTCATTGATAATATTCCTTGAACAGGAACTTCTCTAGAGGCAAATTTTTGGAGGGGAAATTAAAAATGTTTTGTCGAACGTGTCATCGTCTCCTATATTAATTTAGTAGTATAATACATACCTTTTGCGCTTCTCAATCGCAAACAATCTTGATAAATGAGGTCTCTAAAGAAAGAAAATTACACGTAGATGCGACGAATTGCACTTTGACTTTAAAAATATGAAGGATTTGTTTTGAAACGCATCTAAATATTCATGTCAAATAATCCAATACTTTTTAGTATTACAATATTTTTTCAATTTCGCACCTAGCAAAGCTAGCGCTCTCTCCCTCCAAAACCCCCTTCTGTTCTTCAATAACAAATCAGAAAAAGTTTAATACTATGCAAAGGTAAGGGTTGTACCACATATGTGTATAAATAAACGTATACTGTTGTTGTTACTGTATTTTCACATGAAAACTTTACTTGCTTTCTCAGAAGTAAAAGAGCTTCCTTATATATATTATACATATATATGATTATATATATATATATATATATATACTGAATAAACCTCTATTGAACATTCATTTCCGACATCAATTTCTGTGTTTTTGTTTGATATTCTGTAAGTAGGAAGTTACGATTATACAGTTTTAACAAATAAACACATGCTATTAACAACTTTCCTTCTTAATGGATAGAATAGTGAAAGGGTGGGGATTAACATGCGACAGTTCTCGCACGGGTACGCTAGTGTTACATATTTTGTAAATTGTCACAGGGTACACTCAGTTCCTGCTGCGCAATGATTCTATTCGTTTTAATGATTATCCGAAAATAGTTTTGCTTCAGAGTGTTGTGAAAAGTTAAAAGTAAGTGGGGCAAATTTTCCTCATTTCCATATCTGTGGATCCGCGCCTGCTAAAATATAATACTCTTTGAATATATTCCTCGATGATATTATGTTGGCTTTACATTGGCAAGTGATTTCTTCAAGTTCTTACAGCAACTAAGGAAATTGTCTCTCACTGACATATACTGTTAAGTGACATATATTGTTAAATGAATCTAGCCATATAGTTTTTATTGACAGTTTATAGATGATAAAAGTTTATTCAGGACTTCATATTGTAACGTTTCACGGTGGTGAATTAAAACCAACACTCACAGGTATTTATTTAAACAAAAACGTTTATTCCTAACAATTATACACTAAAAACTACTTTATCTATATACGGGTACAAAACACAGTACTTGTGTTCTTCACTTAATTATTTTTCTTACACACGACTCCGTTCTCTTGATTATTTATTTACACAGTTCACTTCTTCTGATTATATATTTACACTGCTCTCTGCAATCTGATTATTTATTTACACTGATCACTTCTTCTACAGTATCACACAGTCCGCTGCACTGTTCACGGTCCAGTGCGTTGACCACAATTCCCTGCGCAGACCACAATTCCCTGCACAGACCACAATTCCCTGCGCACACCAGCGTCCACTGCACTGCTGTTTACCGCGATGCACACTGTGAAAGTTCAGCTTCCACTGCAGACTTTAAACTGCTGACTGTTGTTTCCCCACTGTACTACTGTTTACCGCGATGCACACTTCACAGCTCAGCTTCCACTGCAGACATCAGACTGCTGACTGCTGTTCCCCCACCGCACTACTATTTACCGCGATATACACTTCACAGCTCAGCTTCCATTACAGACTCTCGACTGCTGACTGCTGTTCACCCACTGCAGCACTGTTCACCGCAATGCACACTTTACAGCACAGCTCCCTCTTCAGACGCGAATAGTGCCGAACCGTTCAGTTCGGGAGGAAGGGGGGCCGCCGGCAAATGACGCAATCCGCGTGCAGCAAATCCGGCAGGTAATGCAATATTCGTTACAATATCAATCACGTCATAATACGATTATTCAGTTTTTCAGAGGACGTTTTGAGGAAATCATTTTTCCCCATCTTCAGGCGAGACGAAGTAAAGGACAAAATTGATCTCAGTATGTTAAAAAAGGATAAAAATAGGAGTTGCACAGGCGATATTAATGAAACAAAATTATTATAATGGATATAGTACTCGATATAATCATAGCGTATAGAGACTCAACATTTCAAACAAAAGATTCGAGTCTTCAGCCCTGACCGGGTATAAAACGGCGCGCAGCGAGCAGTGAAGGCAGCTCTAGTCGTCCCGAAACAAAAAATGCAGTAAAACAAATACATATGATCTATGTGATCTCTTTTAACTATCTATAAAACTCTGTGGACAAATTCAATTAACAATATAAGTTACAGCAACTGCTTCCGGTACTCTTTACACCGACAAAAACAAAGCACTGGAATAAGCACTTGTTCCAGTCCGTATTGCTTGTCACGGCTATTGTATTCTGAAAAGCGGTTCTGAAACAAATTACTCTGATGGCTCGCTAGTCGCAACTTCCCCTCTTGTCGCATTTCGTAAAAATGGCTGAAATACCACGTGTGTGTATTTACAAGTAAAAGAATTCCCGTAGCAATCGCAGAATTTTTTTTACTGTATATTAAAATTATTGGGAATGTTATTGTGGATAGTGGATTACAGATACGCTGATGGGTAGGTGATTATAGATACTAAATAATATTAAATTTATTTTAATAAAATGTCGAATTAATGCAAATGTTTTGTTTTATTTCATACATGAAAAATATCCGGCATTGCCCACGTTTTCGGACATCATATTCACTTCATGTGAAAAAGGAAAAATATCAATTTTATAAACCATGGTGTTTTTAGATGATTATTACTATACAGTATTTCAGTAAAGCTCTTGACTGTGCGGACATGCGAACGTGCAGATGTATGTTTTTGCCATTCCATCACTGGCGTCTAGACTACTTCTCGTGCACCAATCGAGACGTCATTCGATGTGTCTCGGTCTCCTGATGGAGAACTGATAATTTCCGTAATAAATTTCAAAAAACCTGTTTTTCGTGTTTTGGCGCTGGGATGTTAGTGATGATGCCAGGAATTAAACCAACGCCTCCTAAATCGATCTATGTAGGTGGCGTTGATTAAATACCAGAACCCAGAGGAATATTTTGCTTAATACGCCATAATTTTCTTTCACGACCTTGGCAACACTGATGTTGACATCTTTAAGTGAACAACTGATTTACCAAGTAAATCACGTGGCTGTTTGATTTCAATTTAGAGTCGAATTATTATTGTATTTAAAAAAATAAATTTACGAATGCCTACGAACAGTTTTGCATCGGAACTTATTGAAGTTCAAGAATTTCAAGTGGATATGGAGAAAACAAAACTGTGAGTAATGCTAGAGAATGAATTAACGTAATGTTCGACTTCGCACTTTTACGTTCTTACATAAGTTTGCAAATACCGTTTTCAAATGAATATGACCCACAACTTATTCTTATTCAAATTAACTAACTTCTTATTGACATAAACATATAAAACAGTCACCTTTTAATGTTAGATTCGTATACAATGCTAGATTCGTTTACAAAATGATTAATAGAGCAATTGCATAAGTAGAAGTAAACACAAATTATACTGAAATTGTGAAGTTTTTCATCCCTTCAAAAATTAGAGGAGAAAAATATGGAAATTTTTGGAAAATCCATGGGCGTCAATTCACCTTCATCCTTAGTGAGAAACTCATTCAACTTTTCTGCCATAGGTGTAAACCTAATGAAAAGTTTGTTGGCGTGTCCAGCGAGTTGGACATCCACACAAAAAAACTCAGCAACGGGACACAATCATCTTACGATTACAGAATAACATTAGTGTGGCCACTTTACTCCGTATCAACATGTTGACAAACTACAGTGTGTTTCCTAAAAGGACGCCACAAGCGATCATCAAACCAACACTGTGCAAAGGAATTTGCACAGAACCATTGCTTCTAAGAGACAAATGTTAAACTAGCTGAACTAAAGATTCTCTAAGAAAAATTTCACACGGATGGTGTTCTCCTGAACATTGTCAAAAAAACATGTACTCGGAAGCGAGCATGCAAAACATCTTTCACATCCTCGGCCGTGTCCTACTCAAGACCCATCCGCACACACACCTCCAAGATCTCTTCTCTCTTCCGGGCCTCCTTCCGACCCTCCTAACTTAT